TGGCTTCCGAAACCCTGCTTTCTTTGGCCATGGGTCATGTGGTTGTCAGAGGAATAAACATGGTGTGTTTATTCTTCTGCTGAACTCCCTGTTGTTTTTGCTGCGGGCAGGAGGCTAGGTGCAGTTAGCTGGGGACCCTTTCAGCAGAACGGCTGGAGTCTGATTGAGTGGAGGTGAGGTGAAGGGGCCATGCTTTTCATCCTTGCTCCACCCACTCCCTGAAAGTCTTGTCCAAACACATGGATTCAGAAGCGAGACCATTTTATTGGGGGGCACCTGTGGCACATAGGGTGGTGACTTTGCATGCAGACATCACAGGGATGATGCTGTTACTTCTTCCCAAAGCGCTGAGGGGCAGCCAAGCTCCAGAATGCTCTAGCCGGGGGACTTAGCTGCTCTTTGCTCCAGGACCCCCAGGCATTTCTGCCAAACCTTTGGAGAGATTCATCTTCAGTTGAAGCTACCTCTGTCTCACCTTCCTTCACCTCTTCCTCTGCCCTCCACCCTTCCCAGCCTCTGCCTGCTGAAACTCACCTTTGGGGATGAAATAGGAAGGCTGGGCTCCTGCCAGGTCTCTCCATGGCCTGGAGCAGAAAACGCAAGAGGGACCCAGGAGTCTGGGTATACTGTACTGGGTGGGGTCCCCCATCTTCTTCCTGTGATGAGAGGATGACAGGGAGGGGAAAAGGCAACGTCCTCCTGGACACTGAAGACACAAGGAAAAAATGGCTTCTAGGGGCAACTTGCATAGGCTAAGGAGCCATTTCCCTTAGAAGACAGAGCTCATGAAGACCTCAGCAGCCTGGGAGCCCCAAACCCTATCACAGGTTTCAGCTGAGGGGAAAATGGTTCGGAGAGAGGTGCTTACTCACTGCAAAGACTCCATCCCGGCTCCCTGGTTCTCGAGTGTGGCCCCAGTCCAGTAGCAGCAGCAGCAGCAGCAGCAGAGCAGCCCGCTTGGAGTCCATGCTGCCATCCACCTCCCCCTGGCACACCATCCTCTTATACCTGCTGTCCCCACCCCCACCCCAGCAGCAGCCCGAGGGGAAATCTAGACAGGCAATAGAAATGCATGGCTCTATTAAGAGCCACCTGGGACCCCCTCCCAGACCCCCCTGGGGACTTTCTGCTCTCAGCTTCCTACCCCCAGCCTAAGCCTGGAGTTATAGACTTTATTAGATGCATAAATCCTGTCTCCAGAGCTCAGGAAGCATCATTAATTGCAGATGGTTTGTCAGAGCTAGGCCCTGGGGGAGTCTTATAAGAACCCCTAATCCTTCAGCAGGTTGGAGAGCTTCAATTGATCAACTCTTGGTCCTGACTGGAGAAACTCCTGTCAGGACTGATTGTTATTTCCTAGATGGGAGGGAACTAGGGTTAAGAGTAGGCTAGGATGATGACCCAGCTTGGTCCCTCCCCATGCCCAAGATGGGCAGTCAGGATTGCAGCCTATTCCAATCCCCCCACTCATTCTTATGAGGTTAAATGTGGAATCCCAACTTTTAAGATTTACCTATGGACAGTAAAGAGATACAGGTGATTTTTGGAGTCTTACTGAGTATAGGTGGCTGGTAAATTCTGTCGACCCGCCCATCTTTCCTAGAGAACCAGGGAATGTGAGGCCACAGCTGAAGCTCTGCTGCCACCTTGTGGCCACTACTCTTTACTGTCAGGTCCAACCATTTCCTTTTACAAGCCTGTCTAGGAGGATTTAAGGGCAGTTCTTCGGGCTGGATTGTTACGTTGTTCCTCTCCCCTCTGGTCAGCACTGCCTCTGCCTGGCTCTGGCTCTAATGGTACTACTGGAGCTAGTGACTAGGGTCCTGCTTCAGGGAAAGACGGAACCACTCCAGGTCAGAGAAGGGCCCTTCAAAGGAGCTAGTCCCAGCCTCACCTGCTGTGCAGGTTCTAGGGTGCCACGTCTCTAGCCTAAACCAAAGGCGGCTCATGTCACGGTTCTGACTTAGCCATGAGCAAAGCAAGCCACCCACACTCAGCGTCACTTTCCTCACTTACATACAGGAACAATAAATGAATTACTTCCTAGGAGTAGCATTATTTGGGATGGCTTTTATAGCAAAGCACAGAGCTGGTCTTTTCCAAATGTCAACTGTGATTACCTTTGCCTTCCTCCCCTACACCAGTCCTGGGGAACTTACCATCTCCAGAGACTTTCTTTGGACACACTTCTCCCTGTGCTGAGCTTGGTGGCTCCCATCAGGGGTCTCAGCTTGTTTCATGGAGTCTCAGAACACCTCTCACCCCATGTGTAAAAGCCCTCTATGCATTCCTTCCTGTCCTTTTTGCTCAAGGGGAAGTACTTTATTGTAACTTACTTACATTTAGGCTTGCATATAAGAGGTGTTTTTTAAAATTATTTAGTTAGTTTTGGGGTGTTGGGGATCAAATCCAAATCCAGAGCCTTGTGTATGCTAGGCAAGTGCTCTACTACAAAGGGGGCACCTCAGTTCTAGACTGGGTTTCCATCTGGAGGTTCTAGATATGATGCATCTCCGTATCAGTGCAGCCTAGGCTCGAGAACCTTCTGTGAGCTCTGTCTCACAGTTTTCCCAGAGCCTGTCACATTCATTACCGTCTTAACAGCTCACTGCTGCTTTTTGTTTTGGGTTTTCTGTCTGTCTGTCTGTCTGTCTGTGTGTCTGAAACAGAGTCTCACTATTTAGCCTTGGCTGGCCTAGACCTTGCTGTGTAGTCTGCCTGTCTCTGGCTCCCTAGTGCTGGGACTGACGGTTTGTGCCACCATACCCAGCTTGTTTATGGTTTTCTAAGATTGGGACACTGTATGTAGCCTAGTATGCTGGCCTCTGTTCTCAGTCTCCCAAGTGCTGGGATACAGTTGTGCGCCACCAACCCCTGGCAGGAGTTCAGGTTTTGTTTTTGTTTTGTTTTTTTCCCTCAGGACAGGGTCTCACTATGTATCCCTGGCTGTCTTGGAACTCATTATGTAGACCAGGCTGAACTTGAACTTACAGAGACTGGCCTGCCTCTATCTCCCCAGTGCTGGGATTAAAGGATTAAATTCCAGCCAAACAGGAATTCAGCATTTTCTCTTTGCTCTTGTAATTCCTCTGTGACTTCTGTAAACTTCAATTCATCCTCAATAAAAGGAACAGCTTGTATGCTGGTGGCCTGAAGTACAATCATCAGCATTCAAACCACACACAACTGCTTCTGTCATCAGAGGCTGCTGTGAGCAGTGAATGGAGTGAAGGCACAGCAGCCCCACTGGACCACAACAGAGCAGGCACTCTGTCCACCACACTGCTGGGGTACAGGGCAGCAGCTGCATTCAGAAAGAAGCTAGCTGACTTCCAACTGGAGCAAGCACCTCCACTACAACATAAGTTAATCCTTCTATCCTGTTACATTGTCTTGCCTTAGGATTCCCAACTCCCAGGCTTGCTTGCTTGCTTGATTTATTTAAATACAGGCTCTCAGCTGGGTAGTAGTGGCACACGCTTTCAGTCCCAGCACTGAGGAGGCAGAGGCAGGCAGATCTCTGAGTTTGACGTCAGCCTGGTCTACAGAGTGAGTTCCAAGGCAGCCAAGGATACACAGAGAAACCCTGTCTGGAAAAACCAACCAACCAACAAACAAATAAATAAACACAGGGTCTCACTTTGTAGCTCTGGCCTGGAACTTAATATGTAGACCAGACTGGCTTATGGCTTTTTTCAAAACTTATTAATTTTAGTTGTGTGGCTGTCTGCACTCATGTATGTGAGTGCAGGTATTTGGGGAGTCCAGTCTAGAATCAGACCCCCTGGACTAGGAGTTCCAGACAGTTGTGAGCAGCCTGATCCTCTAGAAGAGCAGCACCTAACCACCGAGCCATCTCTTGAGCTCCTCTTCCAAATGTTCTTGAACCCCTACATGCTCCCTCCCTTTTTTCCCCCACTTTATTCATTTATTTGGGTGGGTTGGGGAGACACATGCCCCACAGAGCATTATGTGGTGGTCAAAGAACACCCTGTCCTCTCCTTCTACCACATGGGTCCAGAGATCAAACTCAGGCCTTTAGGCTTGGCGGTAAGGACCTTCACTGCTGAGCCATCTTGCTAGCCCTACACAGTGAAGGCCAACAAGAGTGTTTCCACTCCCAAAGGAGGCTCCGATCCCTCCCCAAACACCAACCTGGTGGATCTGTCCCACCAGGAGCCTCAGAGGTTCCTGTTCTGTCTTTTGTCAAGTTCTTCAGTCTGTCTCACCTTTCTCACTTTCAGTGGTAATTATAAAAGAATATACAGACACAAGAATCAGGGGCTCACCTGTCCCTTGAGCATAGCTTGTTTTCCTATCAACTTTTACCTGCTTCTAAACAAAGTCTGCTTCATAGTTCCAGGCTTTTCCTCTTTTTCATTTCTTTCTTTTCTTTTTAATTGTGTGTGTGTGTGTGTGTGTGTGTGTGTGTGTGTGTGTGTGTGTGTGTGTGTTGGGGAGGGGGTTGTGCAGGTAAGTGCAGTGCTTGTGGAGGCCAAAAGAGGGCATCAGATCCCCTGGTGCTGGAGTTATAGGTATCTATGAGGCAACCAACATGGATGTGGGAACCAAACTTGGATCCTCTGAAAGAGCAGTGTGTGTTCCTAACCATTGAGTCATCTCTCCAGCTCTTCCCCCCCTCTATAGAAAGCTTGACTTTGTCTCTGTGTACACTCCCCGGTCTCTTTCTTTTCAATTGTTGGAAGGGGGTGAGGACAAAACACTGGAAGAGAAGAGGTTCCTGGTCTTCAGGCAATCCCACTCCCCATTTAAATGAAGCACACATTAAGTTCTCCAGTCAGTACTCTGGTGATGCCTTGTCTCTGAGGCAGTTCAAAGATCTGAACTCTGTGCCTTCTGTAACACCATGTTACTTACAGAAAGCAGAGATGAGAACCCTGTTCTTTCTGCCCTAAGCAATGGAAGGGGTAGGATGATCAAACATCAAAGTCCAGTGGGTCTCGTGGGTCTGAGAAGGGAAGCACCAAACATACCAGTGATTCTCTTGATAGTTTAATGTTATATTTGCAGCATAAATAAGGCACAGTATATGTCAGGGCGCAGGACGGAGCGGGAAGGCAAGGCTGGGTGATGACTACTAAATGGCATGGGGGAAATAAGAAGGGACGGTTAGGGATGAGCTCAAAGCCCCTGCCTCAGCCCCGCCCCAGGAGATTGTGAGAGCCTGCTCACAGGGGTCATGCTGAACTGGGTGGAGGGAAAAGAGAAAAGACAGTTTTGTAACAAAACAGCCCATAGCACTGTATCCTCCCACCTGTCAGGGTCTACCACTGGAGCCTGGGGAGACCCAGACTGGGTTGAGTTCCTTGAGGATGGAGAGGTATTGCTACATGTCAAAAATATATAGGTGAACAGAGATATATTCATAGATACACATTTCTTTCTTCTCAACAGATACTCTATCAGGATGTAGCAGGCTCCACTGTGGGAGTGGAGACCAATCTCCCTGCCTGCAAGAGGTGTGTGTCTGTGCACAAGGAGAAACTGGACAACTATGGCTCCTGATGATTTGGTTGTTTGTTTTGAGACAGGGTCTCATTGTGTAGCTTTGAACTCCCTATGTAGACCAGGTTGGCCCTGAACTCACAGAGATCCACCTGCCTTTGCCTCCCAAGTGCTGGGATCAAAGGTGTGCGCCACCGCCCGGCTTTCCTGCTGGTTCTTAATGTAACCAAAAATGCAGAGTGAGAAGCCTGCAAGGAAATATGGGTAAGTCCTGCCCAGAACAATGCAGGAAAAGGCTTTAGAACTAAGACTAGAAGGAAGAGAAGCCTAAAATTTGAGATGAGTGATGTGGTGGTGGCTGTTTTAATGGGAGTGGAGGAAGGGACTGGGGGAAATAAAAAAGTCAATGCTAAGGCAGAGTACACATTTAAAGTAATCCTTGTCATCCCAGAGCTAAGATGCTCCCAGCCTGTCCCCCAGGGACTCATGCATTAGTGTGTACTAGAAGCACAGAGTGCTTCTTAAAGCTCACCTTCAGGGTGTCCAACTCGGGAGGTTGGAATGGCCAAGAGTGTGCACTTCCAGCAAGCTCCAGATGATGGTGCTGCTGACGCTGTTCTTGGACCATGTTCTGAGAACCACTGCCCTGAGGTAAGTCAATTAAACTAGTGCTCACAGCCACTTACCAGCTAAACCCTTACTCTCCAGTAGCTGGGGTATAGGGTAGCCTACCAGGTCCACATTAAAAAACAATAAAAAAAAACAAAGAAACACCTAGTAGCTAAAATAGAAACTGTGCATCTACAAGGACCTAAGCTGCCTTAACCTGCCCTACCCTCACCAGCCCTTGCTCGTTCTGGAGTGGATTTTACCTCACAGTGACAGTGCGGAAGCTGGAAATGTTGGCCAGAGGCGCTGTGCTGTGGGGTCACCACTCTGGTCTGAGGAGGAGGATCTGTCTATGCACATGCATGTGTACTGAGAGAAACAGAATTCGTAAGAAGAATGTCTAGCTGGACTGTAGTGGGGTGGGGTCTTCTAATAGGCCTTCGGGTCCTGTCTGTCCTGCTCCTCCACACCTCTAACTCTGGACAGACACGTCTAAAGAAAGTGGGAGGAGCTCGTCAACAAAGGCACGTGAGACACGGCAGGAAGACTGGAGTGTAAACAGTCTGAGGGTAACATACTTATTTTTTGTGGATATAACAGACAACATTAATGAAAATGTGATCTGGGGATGGGAAGAAAGTTATGAAAGGGACAAAGTGGGGAGAGCAATCTCAGGAGTTAGCACCTTTACGGAGCCTCTCAGGGAGCCAGAGGAAGAGCGTGTGTGTGTGTGTGTGTGTGTGTGTGTGTGTGTGTGTGTGTGTGTGTGTGTGTGTGTGTGTCTTTTTTGTGGTTCAGGCTGTCAATAGGAAGGTTTCAGTGAAGCACTCCATCTCTCAGGATGATGGTGCTGGAGGGCAGGTCCCTGAGGAGATGGACGAAGTGAATCAAGAAAAGGAGTCAAGAGCTACAGAATGGAGAGGGAAGGCAGGCAGCAAGGGGAGGTCCGCCAGCACAGCTCCCTTTAGTATGTCCGTGCTTACAGCATGGACAGGAGTGGAGGAAGGAGGCAGGCAGATTTAGGGTGTTCAACCAACGGAAAAGAAGTAAGGAGCCATGTCTTTTCTAGTTCTCTTGGTGCTGGGAGGCTTCTCAGCCTTCCCAACTCTGAACCAGCTTTGTTATGTGGGAGTGGGACAGCTAGGACACAGCAGGTTGTGATCGCTCAGAAGAGTCCTCAGACATCACATTCTCAGCTCTTTTCTGATAGGTTCTTAAGAAGGGCTCAGTGGACTTATGTAAGACAAAACAGAGTTGGAAAAAGATGAGTTAAAGCCAGAGGACCTATCCATCTCGACCGATGCATAAAATGCCACAGAGAGACACAAGACTGTGAGTCAACAACCCACCAGGACACACTCCAGACCTCGCCTTAATGGAAACCGAAAGTACTGAGATGGCTGAAATGTCTGAGAAAGAATTCAGAGTCTCAGTTTAAAAAAGGATGCATGACTGTATAGAAATCTCAAATACACATGAATGAACTAAGGAATTATATACAAAACCTCCAAAGTGAACTAAATAGTGGGTAAGCTGGAGGAGAAAGTCAGAAATGGAGGGAAATTTTAGTGAGGGCATTCAAACATGGAAAAGGAACCAAATAGTAATTAACATGAAAGAAACAATCAAGTAAAAAACCTCACCAGAGCATCACCAAGAGATAAGATCAAGCAGTTTGGGAATGGAGGACAAAGTTGAGACAATAACACACACACACACACACAAATATATAAATTAACATGAGCAGCATTTCCAAAAAGCTTGGGATATACTTAAAAGATCAAACAAACCTCAGAACCCATGGGGTAGAAGGAGGACCTGAGATAAATTAAAAAGTAATAGTCAAATTATTTAATGAAATTTTAGCACAAAATTTCCTAAACCTCTCGACAGAAATTGATATCCAAATACAAGAAGCATTCAGAACCCCAAATAGCCATGATCAGAGACTCCTCTATGACACATCATAGGATGTCAAGAAGGGTTTATTGACACCCTCTATTATATCTAGTTCTAGTTCAACATAAGTCTGGAAGGCAAAGTTCAGGGTAGTGACCACTGGCAGCGATAATGTAAGTGATACCCCTGGACTATAAGACAAGTGTCACTGTAATCAGTTGCTCTGCTTTCTTAGAGTAGAACTGGGAACCAACTACAGCGGTGTCGGGGTTGTCCTGCCCCGTGATCTCAGTGCTGCTTCCCTACTGCCGTTCTGATGGTGCCCTGCATCACTAACTTCCTGCTAGGAAAACAAAGACTCAAGAGAAGCAGACATGAGAGTCAGAAAGTGACAAAGAAGCCCCACATACACTAGACATCCACACAGGGCAGACTGTTCGGGTACTTACGAAGTGACACCGATTCGTAACTTTAAAAACCCTCGGCTGATGGAGGAAGAAAAACAGCCAAGGGTCTGTGAAGGCTCCTCAGGAGCCATAAACTCTTTCATGCTTTAGTGCAAGGCTGCTAGTGGGAAGTTAAGACAAAAAAAAAAAGATGCCGGGCGGTGGTGGCTCACACCTTTAATCCCAGCACTCGGGGACGCAGAGGCAGGTGGGTCTCTGAGTTCAAGGTCAGCCTGGTCTACAGAGTGAGTTCCAGGACAGCCAGGGCTACACAGAGAAATCCCGACTTGAAAAGCCATTAAAAAAAGAAAAAAGAAAGAAAGAAAAGAAACAAAATTTATAAACAGGGAAAAAAAAAACAAAACAAAAACCCCAAAAAACCAGGAAGCAGCCACCTGAATAAGTCCTGAGCACAAACTATGGCTATGAAGTTCTGAAGCCAAGTGAAATCCCTGGAGATGGTGGCCTGCCCTGACCGTCTGGTGACATCTGCTAGCCTTGTCACCTCAGGGGCCGTTCCTGGTGGTAGAAGAGGAGGGAAAACTGACATAAAATGTCACAGGATGGGCTCACTAGTCTAAACTGAAGAGATAATCATGTAAGACAGAACATTTTCTCATTCCTCCATGACAATGAGTTTTGGAAGATAAAAAAGAACGCAAGCAGTTATTCTGTACATTTAAGATCGAGGCAGAAAGAAGACTCCCGGCTTGAGCAGATGGCAGAAGGTGGCTCTGGGACAACTGGGACGGCTCTCTACTCAGAGCTATTAAAGCTGACCTATCTATCCACAGGCCTCTGGCTCTGGAAGAGACTGCAGTGTTCAGAGCCAAGGAGAGACGAGGAAGAGGAGGGGTGTATTTCTTTCCCTGTATCCCACCAAATAAGGGTAGCCAACAGCCACGGTCAGCAATCTCCCAGACAAACAGGCCATATCCTGAGCGCTTTGTTGAGTGTACACATTTTCCTCTTCTCTCTCCACTCACTCATACTCAAAAGCCACTCAGGACCTTGACCACAATGTTTCAGAGCCCTGGAGCCTGTGCCTTGGACAAGCACTATATTTGCGGGGCACAGAACAACAACAACAACAAAAACGAGTTCAAAGAAATTTCAGACTAGAGACACCTAGTGGCGAGGCTAGGAACCTGGTGAGAGAAAGCAGGTGGAGATTCTGAGAAGGGTAACTGACACCGGTGGGTACGAGACACACCTCAGAGAAGGGGGCTGAGAGCTGTAGGAGGAACGCGGAAGAAGAGAACCTCCAGGGGGCTGATCTAAAGCAGTTATGGTGGGAAAGGCAGTGATGTGGAGAGGGGAACAAAGTGGAGAGGAGGGGGCACACAGAGGACCAAAGATGACAATACGTAGACTTCAGCCAGTAAACTATTGTAAAACACCAGAGAATTAGTTAATCCAGTAACCTGATGGAACAAGTTTTAAACTACACTGTTCCTGTCTGCCCTGATGATTAGAACTGGAGGGTAGGGAAGGAGACAGGGAAGCCCAGTTAGACCCCAGGCTCTCTCCCTTTGCATTGCCACTAACAATAAGGCCACAAGATGAGGTTCCCAAGCCATAGTGGGGTGGTCAGAAAGACCCCACCACTAGACTAAGGAAGTCAAGAGACAAAATGAGGTACCCAATAGATGTGGAAATGAAAATGATTCCAACTCTCAGAGTTTTGCTTTTTTTGTTTGTTTGTTTTTGGTAGCAGATGGGAATAAGAAATAAAGCACAGGGAAGAGGTGGAAAATACTGCTACTTCATACATCAAAGGTATTACATTCTCAGTAAGTGAATGTTTTCACTGCAATTAGGAAGAGGGGGAAGAGATAAATAAGCAGCTCTTGGGAGACAAAGTCCTGAGTGCATGGGGTGGCTGGGGTTGAGACAGCAAGTAATACGCCATCAAATCTAGTCTCCCTCTATCTGGCAGGAAGTGGCATGCTAGTAAGGAATAAGAAGATAACAGCCACAGCTCAACTGGGAGGAGAGGACACTGAAAAACCCCAAACCTACAAGTGCAAGGGTTAGTGTTAAGAGACAGGTACACATGCATCAGGGCCAGGGATGACTGCTCGGACCATACGGAAAGGCCTTTGGCTGTAGGTACATAAGAAACCCCACTCTTGGGGGACGATCTATGTGGCTTTGGGGCCAGAAGCCCCTTGCACAGGTGTCAAGCGTACATGATCATGTGGCTAAAGAGAAAAGCCCCACATCTGTCCATACTCACAACACACAATTTCCTCCTCTCCCATACTGCCACATCCAAGGCAGATGGGAGGGGTAAGTTGATCTCTCTCTTGGCTCAGGCGGGCGAGCTCTGGCTGGGGATCTCTCCATCATGGGAGGCATCATCTGCCCGCAGACTGCGACTGTGGGGTCATGATCACATGTGACTGTATGGGCATGCTCAGTTCTGTCCTTTGGCTGGCCATCTGTGTGAGGACCGAGGTGGCCACAGCTTCAGCTGCAGATCGAACACTGAGGCCATTGCTGGGGGCTGTTGCAGAACTGTGCTGAATCACTGGGGCTGGAGAACCCGTTGGCTCTGAGCTTTCCTTGGGACTCTCTGTCAGGAAGGAGGGCAAACAGGAGAGAGCAAGTGGTCAGAACACAGCACAAAATGCCAGAAAGGACCATCTTTTGTCATAATTACAAATACAAAAGGCAGAGCCAGGCGGATCTCTGTGAGTTCGAGGCCAGTCTGGTCTACAGAGCAAGATCCAAGAAAGGTGCAAAGCTACACAGAGAAACCCTGTCTCGAAAAACAAAAAAAACCAAAAAAAAAAAAAAAAGAAAAAAGAAAATGAATCTTATATTTCTTCTTGGAGAATCCTGACCTCAAGTCATGAATGACTCGGAGAACAAGAAGACACAAGAAGCAAGAACTGAGCCGGACACAGCATCACATTTAATATGCTCCGATAGAGGAGGTTCCTGTGTTTTCATTCCTAGGTAGGTAAAAGCTCCTTTCTAAAGCCTGTCCTCCATCTATTACCACAGTGAAAGCCACCTGTTTCCTCCAAGAAAAACTTTTAAAGGGATGTGGATTCACTGGCTACAGAAATCAACAAATCGGGGTTGGGAATTTAGCTTAGTGGTAGAGCGCTTGCCTAGCAAGCACAAGGCCCGGGGTTCGGTCCTCAGCAAAAAAAAAAAAAAATCAACAAATCACAGGGTTTCTCTGTGTATCCCTTGCTGTCCTGGAAATTGCTCTGTAGACTAGGCTGGCTTCAAACTAGGAGATTCGCCAGCTTCTGCCTCCTGAGTGCTGGGATTAAAGGTGTACACCCCCACTGTCAGATTAACAAATCACTTTTGGTGAAGAGAAGCTAAAGGTATTCTGAATTATCTAAAATTATCTTTGAACTTGTTCTGTTTACAGAAGAAAATGAATCTCTCTTCCATTACTTTTTAAAATTTTACATTTATTTTGTGTATATACATGTTTGTTATGAGTATGCTCACACACATGCCAAAGCACACATGTGGAGGTCAAAGGACAACTGTCAGGAGTCTGTTCTCCTCCACCACGTGGGTCCCTGAGATTAGACTCAGGTCATCAGGCATCGAGTGCCTTCACCTGCTGAGCCACCTCACCAGCCGCAAAAGCAATTTAAAATAGCTTCCTTAATCTGCTCTCATTAATTCTCAAAGGCATTAAATCATTTCATTTTAAAAAATGTTCCTCTAGCATGTAGTTGGCACCACATCTAAGGTTGCTAAATACCAATTTACAATCAAATGATGCTATAAACAGCCAAGATTAAGTTAACAGGTAAAGTACAAGAAGTCTGTCAGAGTCTCCTATCAATTAGCTACACACTGGTGATGTAAAATATTTATTATGGACTATACCATTCCATCTAAAGTGGCAGTGTACATAATATCTGAGCTGCATGCAGAGGTATGATAACTAGTCAAAGAGTTTTATTAAATGCTAGTTTAATATTTTAATAATTAAATTATTAAGTGCCGGGTGGTGGTGGCGCACGCCTTTAATCCCAGCACTCAGGAGGCAGAGCCAGGCGGATCTCTGTGAGTTCGAGGCCAGCCTGGTCTCCAAAGCGAGTTCCAGGAAAGGCGCAAAGCTACACAGAGAAACCCTGTCTCGAAAAACAAAACAAACAAACAAACAAAAACCCCATTAAATTATTAAATCTCTATAGCTGACTAAACAGATATATGAAATTACAGAAAATTTCCATTTTTTTTTTTTTTTTTAGTGACATTGTCTCTTGTAGCTCAAGATGGCCTCAAACTCTCAGTCTTCCTCTGCCTCTAGAGCTCTAATTATAGTTGTGTACCAGCATGTCTGGGTTTGGTGTCTCTGACTTCTTGACGAATGCCTGAGTCATTGTTCCAATGGATTCAAGGGGATTCAAATACCGCTTCTTCTGTAAACACTTCCTTGCTACCCCCAGGAAACTGTCTTGTCTTCAGAGCTTTCAGAGCACACATTCATTTATTTATCAGGCATTTACTGAGCATCTTCCGCATGTGAGGGCAATGGAGTGAGTATACAGCAGAAGCTCCAAATCTAGGAGCCCATTTACTGGGATATCTGTCCTTATCTCATTCATAGGTTCACAGTGACTCAATGAGTCTCTGAGAGGTAAGGACGATGCCTTATCTTATGTCAAGTACCTATATAATGTGGATGCCACAAAGTAATAATTAAACACATTTTTGTTGTAATAAATAAGTAGTTTAGTGGACTAACTGCCAGTCAGAGTTACTACAGGGATTGTGTAGAAAACTACGTATTGACTGCCTACAGAAGAACACTCAGTCTTTATCCTTGTTAGCCCATGAAGAGGATCTAGGTAGATAGCCTGGGCACCCCTGATGTCCCTAGTAGAGGATCAGATCTTTCATGTTGCACTTTCATGTTTGCAATATAAAAGCTGAAGCCCTTGTTATCACCAAGACTGAATGTGAAATGCTCCTAATATTTCTCCATCTCATTCCAATGACGTTGTACCCATCCAGCCACACCAGCCTCTTTGTCTGTATTCAAATCTGTCTGACAGGCTGGCCTTGAACTTGCAGCAGTAGTATTCCCACCTCTGCCTCCTGAGTACTGGGACGACAGGTGTGGACCGCAATGCTTGACCCTTCCATCCCATCTTTCTTTGTGTTTTTGAGACACGGTCTCTCACTGTGTAGCTCTTGTCTCAGCTTCCTCGGTGGTGGGATCACATTCTTGTAGCACCATTTCCAGCTATATTATTATTGTTGTTATTATTTTAAGATGCCGGGTATGGTGGTGCACGCTTTTAATCCCAGCACTTTTGAGGCAGAGGCAGGCAGGTCTCTCTGTGAGTTCAAGGGCAGCCTGGTCTACATAGCGTTTTCAAGGGCAACCAGAGATACACATACATCCATAAACCATGTATATGCTTGGTGTCTGAGGCATCCAAAAGAAGGCATCAGATCAACTGGAACTGGAGTTACAAGCAGTTATGAGCTGCCACACTGAGTGTTGGAAACTGAACCCAGGTCTTCAGCAAGGGCAGAAAATGCTCTTACCCACTGAGCAATCTCTCTAGTCCCCAGCTGTATTATTTTTTGGTTTACATTTACTATATACCACATAATTTACTTCTTTTACTTGTCTTACCTACTAAATATAAGTTTTTCAAGGACAGGATCTAACCTGATCGATTTGGTTCCAGTTATTCCCAGTATGTGCCTGGCACAGAACAGGAACTTAGTCAGTACCTGCTTAATAAATCAATGCACCCTGGAGTACATAATAAAATTTAAATAAATAATTCAATAAAGATTCTTAAAATTTTTCTCAGAATGCATTTCTGAAATGATAAAGACAATCAGTGGAAAAACTATTTGCTATATCCACCATTTCTAAGCATTTATTTAATCTATAAAGGAAATTAGCAATTTTTAGTTTTTATTATCTATAACAAACTATTCATTGTAATATTTACTTTATAATAGCGCTAATGCTGAACATAATTCTGTGGGTATTTTTGATTACAAACTGAAACCATGATCATTATAAAGATGAAATCTGCCCTAAGTCCCTATTCTTCAATTCCTAGGCACTGTCAGCTGTTCATCTTTTCTCCAGGCCAAGACTATTTTTGGGACCAGAAGACCTCTACCACTTTCCTACTGTGTGTGACTTCTGGTAAATGATCTGAGTTTTCTCCCTTACAAAGGGAATGGCTGCTTCTAGGGAGAACTGTGAGGTTGGTCGAGTGCTTAGATAAAACAGGCCCAGGAAATACTGCTACTCCTTCTCTCCAACTATAGATGATATGATAACTCTGCATTACTGTCAAAGTTTTATTTTTTTTTATTTGTTTATCTGAAAGAAAGTTTCATGTAGCTCAGGCTTGCCTCAAACTTTGGCTATAATTGAGGACCTTGAACTGATCCTCCTGCTTGCTAAGATTATAGATAAGGAAAAAAATTTTTTACTTATGTATTTATTTCTTGGTAGGACTGATATGCCACAAAGAATGGCATTCTAAGCAGCCAAGACACTCAGTTCCTGTGGTTATCAACGGACTGGTTTTGCTTAGGCTGTGAACCACTCACCTAGGTAGCCTTGTGTCTTTTTCTGCAGTGCAGTGACAGGACAGTCTTTATGAGCTAACAGGAGCTGCTTCAGCTGAGCCACCTCATTCCGTAGTAATGTGACTTCATTCTGAAGGGGGAGGAAGAAAAGAATATTAAAAATATTCATCTTCTAGTCTTTTTTTTTTTTTTGGTTTTTCGAGACAGGGTTTCTCTGTGTAGCTTTGCGCCTTTCCTGGAACTCACTTGGTAGCCCAGGCTGGCCTCGA